ACTTGATCACTTAGGTTGTTGCTTCGTACTATTTCTTTTCGGAGAGACACGTATTCCTACCATAACGAAGCTTCGAAACTGTGGATCTATTCTCACTGTCTGCGCCCTGTTGCCCCCTGAGTTGAACTTTGCGTCTTAGCATAAACCAATCACGATAAAATCGTTTCCTTAACAGTTAATCTACCTGACATGAACATGTATTTGAAGGACATATAACCCGACAACCCCCAAGGACCGAACTGCGGTTCAATACTGTGACACTGTCAACCCAATGTAGGGGTAGTAGAGTATATGCCTGCATACAGCGGCAGTACAAGACACGTGGACTTGCTGGAGTTACCCGACGAGACGACTTATATCCCCACCCAAGGACTCGACACAACATCAAAATCAGACTAGCCAAATCGGAAGTTGAATAATACTATACAAGATAGCTTGCGTTCATCACAGGTAATCCCGTTAAGACATGGAGAAAAATCTTCGAAGTATTGAGAAAAAAATTCGGCGGCAACAGATGTACGATGCCCTATATAGCTTTTTAGAAAGTTTCAGTAAATCACATAGTAGAAGGGGTAACCTCACCTTCGGACTTTTCCTCGAGCGAGCGCATGAACTGGAAGAAGCCGAACTCGCTAGTCTGTAGACCATTAGAGTAGACGAACTCGTCAGCAATCCAAGTGGCAACCATAGCATTGAGATAAGCCTCGGGAGTGTTCTCGACAATCTTATCCAAACCACAATGAACAAGAAGCAACCTGGGCACACAACGTCTGAGAACAGCACGAACCATCCAATCATTCTCAGGATCATGTTCCTCGAGGACGCCAAGGATATAAGACTGCATGTCGTTGATCTTCTTCGACAATAAGATGGTTGCATCAGTCTTACGAATATACCTCGATCCATCAGGATACTTCACCTCATGGTTAGTCTTCCAGATGCCATTGAACTCCATCTTGGCGTTATGACGGACAGCGGCAAGAATCTCCTGAACGTATTGTTCGTAGAACTCAGGAGGAGCACTGGTCTCATCACGAGAACACAGGAACTTGTCATGATCAGCCGTGTCCATGCAAAGAGCGGCGAACACTTCCATACTGCTGGAAGTAACACCACCCTTGTTGGTGGAAGCATCCTTGAATAGCTGCACACCAGCATCCTCAAGATATCGACGAGCATCATCAGTCAAGAATAAGTTGGCACCCTCTACAACATACTTGAACTTGAGCTCCTTAGTCTCAGGATTGAACATGGTCTTATCAACATTACCAATGTTAATAGTACCAGGGCGACCACCACAAGGAATGAAGAGATCAGCGGAGAAGTACTCCATCTCAGGGAAGTGATTCCGGACCTCAACACCGGACTTGAAATGATCACCATTCGGAAGAGTTACATCCTTATCGTCAATAGTGACCAAGAATGCCTTCGGATCACTTGACAACTTATCACGAGAGAAGTTAGCAACACCAACTCTGAGATGAGCAAGACGAGTGAGCTCCTCTCTGTTCAATCCTTGAGGATCATAAGCAACACCAGTACCATCACAGATAGCAATGGTCTTATCCTTAGAGACGAGGATCTCGTTAGAACCAAGATCACCATCGGGGCCACCGGACATGACCTTGGTGAGCTTAGACTCCTCAACACCCAACTTGTTCAGAAGCTCGGTAACGTAAGGATGGATGGAGTTTGTTGTCATGGCGTACTTGTCATGGGGGATGCCACCAAGGACAGCGGACTTACCGGTAGTCAAAGACTTCCAGTATTTGTAACCACGAGCCTTGGCTCTCAAAGCACCCAACTTCATGAATCCAGCAGTATTCTCATCGGGACCGAAGAAGAGCATCTCAGGCTTGGAGAGGTTAGAATAGAGGCCGGTCTCCTTAGCAAGGATGCAATCGAGGAGAGCATCAACATAGCTATTGAAAGCATCACGACCACTGGTGTTCAAGTTCTGAGAATCCATATCCATGAGGATGGTACCCTTCGATCCGCCCTCGGGGATATCCTTGTTCTTCAGCTGCTGAGTAAAGGCCAAGTTGTAGTTCTCCTCCAACAAAGTAGCGCAGTTCTTCTTGTAGACCTGTCTGTTCCTAGATAAGATGAGTCTGATACCACCACGAGCGATCTCAGTGAATCGGATGTGGAAGCCATAGAAGCTCCTGCCGACGACAAGATAGACAGCATAAGGAATTCTGGAGAAGAGAGTCCTCGGACGATCAGCCAGGACCTCACCATCAAACCTCATTGCAATAGCCGAGGCTGTACCAGCCTTGAAGAAGTTTGTCATCTGAAGATGAGCGCTGAGCTTCAACAGAGTCTTCAAGATCTTCGCATCGAAGCGAGATCCAACCTGATCATCAACCTTAGCAGCCAATTCCTCATTGTAGAAAGGCTTGCATAGACCAGTGGCAACCTTCTTGAAGTCGTCGAACATAGGGAGAGTGAGCTCATAGTTGGAGGTGAGAGCATCATAGATCCTCTCATAAGTAATAGCATTAGCCATGGTATCTCTGAAGAGAGTATCCAGCTCACTCTTCTTGGACGGGTCACTCTTGAAATAGTCGGCCAAAGCGAGATACTCCTCAGTCTCCTTAGGGAAGAATGAGAAGATGAACTTGGCAGCAGTAATAAGGAAGATAGCATGCTCGGGTGTGATCTTATTGTTGAGCACAAGTTCCCAAACCAAACCGGACTTCCTCGGGTTATGCTTGAAATGGCTCACATAACGAAGAGTCTGCGCGAGCCTTTCCAATGCCTCACCCTGGAAAGTGGGGTCGAAGAAGCAAGTATAGGTGACGATACCATTGGCGAACGAGTCCACGTAGAATCTCTTGGGTTCAACGTTATGAGAACGGAAGCATTCGTTGATCTCAGAGATGTAGGCTCGGCCCGTACGATCAACATCAAAGGCAGCAAACTGCAACACTTGGGCGCCGGACTTCTGAACCAAGTTGGCAGGAGCATCGAACACCTTAACAACAGTATTGCGGGTAGCCATAGTCTCATCGATAAGATCCTGGTAGAGCTTCTGTACTTCATCAGATCTCTCCTCAAGGAACGCCGGGGTAGCCACGAGATGAATGTCGGACTTCTCCATCATATCCTCAAACTTAACACCCGACTCGAACTGTTGCTTCTCAACAACAAAGATGCCGAGAGGGAACTTACCTCCACACATGGGAGCTTTCTCAGACTTAAGGAAGGTGATAGTGTAACCACAGTCCTTAGCAGTATTGATATACTCAGCAACCTTAGCATCAGTGATGGCAATCTTCTCAGGCTCCATAGTGGTGAGATAGAAAGCCGAATCCGCTTCCTCAATCTCGAAGTGGATATAGTCAGACTTGGTAGCCTGAGCGACCTTCTTAGCAGCGATAAGGCAATGGATATGCCTGGCGATCTCAGCACTGGTAAAATGTTTGAAGTAGCTGGGATGAAGACCAAGCTCAGTGAAGTAGTAGACGATCTCCTGCCAGAGAGAACCAGCAGCGAGGACACCTTCCTTCATAATGATAGAAAAGACCTGAGTCATCTTGATTTCCAAATCCTCAGGAGTCAGGGAGATGTTGGTATTCTTCACCTGCTCCTTGAGAGCATTCTCACTCTCAGGGGAAAGATAACACATGGCATCATCACACTTGAGGTCGAGCTGACCGAGCACCTCTTTGATGTCGGTATGATGGTTCACCACAGCATCATGGATAGGAAGCATACCGAAGCGATCAGTCTTCAGCTCAGCCCCCTCGCCCAACAAGTATTGGATAGCATCCATGTGACCACCAGCAGCAGCTAAATGGAGAGGAGTTCTCTTATCATAGTCTTGAACATTAACAGATAGACCGGAGTTGCTGGCCATAAGCTCCTTCATGCGATTGAGATCGCCCTCATAGGCAGCCTCGAGAAACGAAGAAATAATGCTCGTTGAATCCATAGTAGTGATTTTATAAAAATAGAAACTATGGGGACAAAGGATTGTGTGAAACGAGAATACAAACCCGGACTACAACTACGATCAATTCAACCAGAATAAGCTACCTCTAGCTTAAAGTAATGCAGCTTATACAGCTGCTAGATACTATAAGCTTCGGAATGCGAATCTTATATCGTTATGTAGGGAATGTTTCAGGGAGAAGGAATATGTGTCTGCGGAATGGGAACGTGATAGAGCGAAGTGATGTGGCATTTGGGCAGAGTTTCATGATGTGATTTGGGGTTGTCGCACACAACATCAGCAGCCTACCCCAAACCGGGATTTTCAATGCCGGAGCCAATACGGCAATCATTGCATACTTTCAGCGATAATAGGCACATACCATGAGCAGCACTGCAAATCACTCTTTAAAGATTCAGTTGGAAACGGCGAGATCTGTTCACTCCAGCCACACTTGCGTATATAAACCTGTGTTGAGAAACTGCTCGACTGGGCCATCCATTCGAGAAAATACTGGCAAACGAACATACTCTCAAACACACACTCGCTGAAGTGATGAGTGGCCGACAGACCTTTTGACATCAAGTTGGACTCGCAGGGATGTGGCAGCGCCAATTACTCACGTGCCATGCCATGATACTATGTGTTATGCCGGGACGAACTATGACTTGATCACTTAGGTTGTTGCTTCGTACTATTTCTTTTCGGAGAGACACGTATTTCTACCATAACGAAGCTTCGAAACTGTGGATCTATTCTCACTGTCTGCGCCCTGTTGCCCCCTGAGTTGAACTTTGCGTCTTAGCATAAACCACTCACGATAAAATCGTTTCCTTGACAGTTAATCTACCAAACATGAACATGTATTTGAAGGACATATAGCCCGACAACCCCCAAGGACCGAACCGCGGTTCAATACTGTGACACTGTCACCCCAATGTAGGGGTAGTAGAGTATATGCCTGCATGCAGCGGCAGTACAAGACACGTGGACTTGCTGGAGTTACCCGACGAGACGACTTATATCCCCACCCAAGGACTCGACACAACATCAAAATCAGACTAGCCAAATCGGAAGTTGAATAATACTATACAAGATAGCTTGCGTTCATCACAGGTAATCCCGTTAAGACATGGAGAAAAATCTTCGAAGTATTGAGAAAAAAATTCGGCGGCAACAGATGTACGATGCCCTATATAGCTTTTGTATAGAAAGTTTCAGTAAATCACATAGTAGAAGGGGTAACCTCACCTTCGGACTTTTCCTCGAGCGAGCGCATGAACTGGAAGAAGCCGAACTCGCTAGTCTGTAGACCATTAGAGTAGACGAACTCGTCAGCAATCCAAGTGGCAACCATAGCATTGAGATAAGCCTCGGGAGTGTTCTCGACAATCTTATCCAAACCACAATGAACAAGAAGCAACCTGGGCACACAACGTCTGAGAACAGCACGAACCATCCAATCATTCTCAGGATCATGTTCCTCGAGGACGCCAAGGATATAAGACTGCATGTCGTTGATCTTCTTCGACAATAAGATGGTTGCATCAGTCTTACGAATATACCTCGATCCATCAGGATACTTCACCTCATGGTTAGTCTTCCAGATGCCATTGAACTCCATCTTGGCGTTATGACGGACAGCGGCAAGAATCTCCTGAACGTATTGTTCGTAGAACTCAGGAGGAGCACTGGTCTCATCACGAGAACACAGGAATTTGTCATGATCAGCCGTGTCCATGCAAAGAGCGGCGAACACTTCCATACTGCTGGAAGTAACACCACCCTTGTTGGTGGAAGCATCCTTGAATAGCTGCACACCAGCATCCTCAAGATATCGACGAGCATCATCAGTCAAGAATAAGTTGGCACCCTCTACAACATACTTGAACTTGAGTTCCTTAGTCTCAGGATTGAACATGGTCTTATCAACATTACCAATGTTAATAGTACCAGGGCGACCACCACAAGGAATGAAGAGATCAGCGGAGAAGTACTCCATCTCAGGGAAGTGATTCCGGACCTCAACACCGGACTTGAAATGATCACCATTCGGAAGAGTTACATCCTTATCGTCAATAGTGACCAAGAATGCCTTCGGATCACTTGACAACTTATCACGAGAGAAGTTAGCAACACCAACTCTGAGATGAGCAAGACGAGTGAGCTCCTCTCTGTTCAATCCTTGAGGATCATAAGCAACACCAGTACCATCACAGATAGCAATGGTCTTATCCTTAGAGACGAGGATCTCGTTAGAACCAAGATCACCATCGGGGCCACCGGACATGACCTTGGTGAGCTTAGACTCCTCAACACCCAACTTGTTCAGAAGCTCGGTAACGTAAGGATGGATGGAGTTTGTTGTCATGGCGTACTTGTCGTGGGGAATGCCACCAAGGACAGCGGACTTACCGGTAGTCAAAGACTTCCAGTATTTGTAACCACGAGCCTTGGCTCTCAAAGCACCCAACTTCATGAATCCAGCAGTATTCTCATCGGGACCGAAGAAGAGCATCTCAGGCTTGGAGAGGTTAGAATAGAGGCCGGTCTCCTTGGCCAGGATGCAATCGAGGAGAGCATCAACATAGCTATTGAAAGCATCACGACCACTGGTGTTCAAGTTCTGAGAATCCATATCCATGAGGATGGTACCCTTCGATCCGCCCTCGGGGATATCCTTGTTCTTCAGCTGCTGAGTAAAGGCCAAGTTGTAGTTCTCCTCCAACAAGTAGCGCAGTTCTTCTTGTAGACCTGTCTGTTCCTAGATAGATGAGTCTGATACCACCACGAGCGATCTCAGTGAATCGGATGTGGAAGCCATAGAAGCTCCTGCCGACGACAGATAGACAGCATAAGGAATTCTGGAGAAGAGAGTCCTCGGACGATCAGCCAGGACCTCACCATCAAACCTCATTGCAATAGCCGAGGCTGTGCCAGCCTTGAAGAAGTTTGTCATCTGAAGATGAGCGCTGAGCTTCAACAGAGTCTTCAAGATCTTCGCATCGAAGCGAGATCCAACCTGATCATCAACCTTAGCAGCCAATTCCTCATTGTAGGAAGGCTTGCATAGACCAGTGGCAACCTTCTTGAAGTCGTCGAACATAGGGAGAGTTAGCTCATAGTTGGAGGTGAGAGCATCATAGATCCTCTCATAAGTAATAGCATTAGCCATGGTATCTCTGAAGAGAGTATCCAGCTCACTCTTCTTGGACGGGTCACTCTTGAAATAGTCGGCCAAAGCGAGATACTCCTCAGTCTCCTTAGGGAAGAATGAGAAGATGAACTTGGCAGCAGTAATAAGGAAGATAGCATGCTCGGGTGTGATCTTATTGTTGAGCACAAGTTCCCAAACCAAACCGGACTTCCTCGGGTTATGCTTGAAATGGCTCACATAACGAAGAGTCTGCGCGAGCCTTTCCAATGCCTCACCCTGGAAAGTGGGGTCGAAGAAGCAAGTATAGGTGACGATACCATTGGCGAACGAGTCCACGTAGAATCTCTTGGGTTCAACGTTATGAGAACGGAAGCATTCGTTGATCTCAGAGATGTAGGCTCGGCCCGTACGATCAACATCAAAGGCAGCAAACTGCAACACTTGGGCGCCGGACTTCTGAACCAAGTTGGCAGGAGCATCGAACACCTTAACAACAGTATTGCGGGTAGCCATAGTCTCATCGATAAGATCCTGGTAGAGCTTCTGTACTTCATCAGATCTCTCCTCAAGGAACGCCGAGGTAGCCACGAGATGAATGTCGGACTTCTCCATCATATCCTCAAACTTAACACCCGACTCGAACTGTTGCTTCTCAACAACAAAGATGCCGAGAGGGAACTTACCTCCACACATGGGAGCTTTCTCAGACTTAAGGAAGGTGATAGTGTAACCACAGTCCTTAGCAGTATTGATATACTCAGCAACCTTAGCATCAGTGATGGCAATCTTCTCAGGCTCCATAGTGGTGAGATAGAAAGCCGAATCCGCTTCCTCAATCTCGAAGTGGATATAGTCAGACTTGGTAGCCTGAGCGACCTTCTTAGCAGCGATAAGGCAATGGATATGCCTGGCGATCTCAGCACTGGTAAAATGTTTGAAGTAGCTGGGATGAAGACCAAGCTCAGTGAAGTAGTAGACGATCTCCTGCCAGAGAGAACCAGCAGCGAGGACACCTTCCTTCATAATGATAGAAAAGACCTGAGTCATCTTGATTTCCAAATCCTCAGGAGTCAGGGAGATGTTGGTATTCTTCACCTGCTCCTTGAGAGCATTCTCACTCTCAGGGGAAAGATAACACATGGCATCATCACACTTGAGGTCGAGCTGACCGAGCACCTCTTTGATGTCGGTATGATGGTTCACCACAGCATCATGGATAGGAAGCATACCGAAGCGATCAGTCTTCAGCTCAGCCCCCTCGCCCAACAAGTATTGGACAGCATCCATGTGACCACCAGCAGCAGCTAAATGGAGAGGAGTTCTCTTATCATAGTCTTGAACATTAACAGATAGACCGGAGTTGCTGGCCATAAGCTCCTTCATGCGATTGAGATCGCCCTCATAGGCAGCCTCGAGAAACGAAGAAATAATGCTCGTTGAATCCATAGTAGTGATTTTATAAAAATAGAAACTATGGGGACAAAGGATTGTGTGAAACGAGAATACAAACCCGGACTACAACTACGATCAATTCAACCAGAATAAGCTACCTCTAGCTTAAAGTAATGCAGCTTATACAGCTGCTAGATATTAGAAGCTTCGGGATGCGAATCTTATATCGTTATGTAGTCAATGTTCTAGGATGATGGAGGAGGTGAAAGAATCACGAATATACTGTCTGGAGTAGAGGTCTAGAGGCGCCCCAGTACACTAATGCAGTATAACAGTATGCTAATAGTATGTGTTTGATATGATACTCTACCCGCGAGAACAGGAAAGCCTTCATACGTGGAAGAAATCGTACACATTTAACACAGAAACCACAACGAAGAGCTGGTCCTAGCACTAAGCAATGCCGATGATCTCGTATAGAGCATACAAGCCCTAGTTCATAACTTATCCCATCACAACAGAAAAGTTGATTGCAGCAAGTAGGAAACAAACTAATAATGATTTCACAACTCCTCTTCTTCTTCATCATCATCAATCGCTCTCGTGAGCATAGCCTCGAATTCTTGTGCACGATAGTACTTGATGGGATCCCATATCATATCTGGGAACTCTAAAGGAGCGTTCGTCTGAATGGGAACACCAAACCTTCTGATTCCAGACTTGAAATCCAAGTTGAACAAACATGACCCTATCTCTTCATCACGCTTCCGTACTCACCCCTGTAATCTTGACAATCGCACTGGTCTCCTCGAACTCCCTCGAACAAGGAACCGTAGTGCGAGTGGCGACCTTTCCAGGCGTATCACCGGGCAGCTGCTGGATTTCATATATAGCTCCTTGGCCAAACTCCACACCCCTGAATCAAGAGTTCCGTTGCGTAAGATGAACAAGCTTCAACCTACAATTGTATCAAATCAGTTCTCGCCTTCTCCCTGTCCTCTTCTTCAGAATAAGCAACCATACAGCCATCCTCCCTCCATGTCTTATCAAAACCAAATGAATGAACGACCATTGCTGGCCTCGGCGATGACAACTGAAGATTCCATCACGTAGCAACCTCACTGGAAATACTCTCTACCTTCAAGATTCGCTCACGAAGCTGTCTGAGCCTCTTGAAGTTAGTCTCGATCGAAGGTAGAGACTTCGTTAACGCAGCAGGGTTGAAAGCAGTGATTTCAAAAATGACCGGATGTGGTAGGTGCAGATCCCCCAGCTCGAATGCCTGAGCTTCTCTCTCCTCCACGCTTTACTTCTCTAGAGTTACCTCCATTCCTTCACTTGGCACTGGTTTGATATACTGAACCTGTCCCTGCGGTGAGTAGTTCCCGAAGTCCCAAGCAGCATATGCGTCAGCCCAGATATCACGGAGCTCGCGGTCGTCCGAAGGGAACCGCCGACTGGACTGAGGTTACCCGAACAGATAACGAGCGCCTTCTCGCCCTCCTGGACTCACCTTGTCTGTGGCCATTGGAATGGAGAAGCAACAGAACACCACTGTGGGAAGTATGCTATATGAGAGTCGTAGGGAAACTATTAAGTCCAGGCGCATAACTAGCCAGTTCGCTCACTTACGCTTGCTCATCTCGACCGGTCGTGGTGCGAGCATCTGCCAGGGTATTGGTTGGCAGTGATCTACTACGAGAGAGTCAGGAATGAAAGTCTACGGCTAGCAACTGAGGATCGAGGCAATCGAGCTAGGCATGTCCCGAAATGGTGAATCGAATTATCATTCCGAAGCTTCCCGGATGCCAAAACACGGTGTGAAGCTGACCATCGATGTAGCCAATCTAGTGGTAGATTCGGTTTTCGTCACAAGGGCAAATACGTGGTGACATTCTCCCCAATATCGTAAGGCCTAGTCAGGCACAAGAGCGAAGATATGGATCACGCTATTGCGGAAATTCGCCGTCTTGAGTGCATACAAAGACCCATAATTCTCAGTGACTTCTAACACAACAACGACAATACAACATTAGACTCAACCCGGTTCTGTGACAGTTTAAATATAATGCACATGGTACTAACTGCTATTACTAACAATAAAAGTGAGGTTTACGCCGTGATCGAGCACCGTTGCGACTCCACAGTGTGATCAATATGGCAGTAGACATTGTCGTGCTACTATAGTGCGACCATCCGGATGCTGGCAGGAGCAGTACGTGCGAAAAATACAAATGCGTGTGGGACCGACACAGCCAAGATCAAATCCATTTCTGCTTCCTGTAGAGGGAGAAGATGAGACTTGTGATCGTCAGCAAGAGCAACCAAAAATATAAATACCCATGAGACCACATCAGCTCAGGCATTCCCGGATCACCCGTTACAGGATTCTGGAAGTTCATACCGTAGACGCCTGTGAGGAACTGTCCGGGAACGAAGGTGGTTGTAACCAGAGTGAGAACATACAAGATATTGCTCGTCTTAGATTCGCAATACTGTCGATATTGCTCGAGCATCATTCTGGCGTTCTCCCTCAACGCCAAAGATTCCTCCACAAATCGATGAGTGTTGCTGCGAATATCAGAGGTATACATCTGCGAGTCGGGACTCCAATGTCTGTAGCTCACGGCAGTCTCCAGAACGTCTAAGACGGGTCTCGCCATTCTATAAAGTTGACCAAGTTGCCTGACGATCTTCCGCAGCCGTTTGACGTCCTTCTGATAGAACTTATCCATCTCTCTATCAAGCCTCCGCTGCAGTACAGACAAAGATGCATCGTAAGCTTGTCCAACCAATATGTAGTCTTCAGTTATATCACACAAGATCTTGAAGAGTAAGGTGTGGGTATCACCAGTTCTCACATTGCTGTAAGAAGTCTTCAGATTGCCCAAGGCATTACGGAAAATACTCATATCGTACGACATCGTCTCCCAATCAGTAATGGTGTGCGTGAAAGTGCGGAATCTCGTCCATGTGCGACTGTCGGTGGTGGACTTCCCCTCATCAACAGTCTCCTGACTCGATATTTTCTTAGTCCACCAGTGTTTCGGCGTCCTATTGTTGATACCTTTCATATCATCATCATCCCGATCAGTACCGGTTTTGCATAGAGTAACCCACTCGCTGGAGAAGCTGATGAGTGTACCACCTTCGGCTTTACCCGTTACAAACATCGCTAGGTTGCATTGCTCGACTTCCACCTTTACAATAGGCGGTTCAACCGTCTTATCGACTTTTGGGAAATCCTTCCGCAGCTTCTGTCTTCTCCACGATTGCCATGGCCGCAGAGTATTCCGACTGGTTTGAGTGAGCCGCAGTACTGGTATGATAATAATGGACCACAATGGCGGATTCTTCCGAGTTATCCGCGTCTCTCCGCGACCTGTCGGCCTGTACCCAAAGATATGATCGACTTTAGCCCCCTCGCGCCATAGCGTGAAGACATCCAATACAAACCGGGGGTCCAAACCGTATTTGATTGCGAGACCCAGCACAGCAGCTTGTGATGGATCATGAGAATGAAGCCAACGGACCCTGAACGGTTTTTGAATCTTCTTAGTGTTGAGCACTCTGGACATAGCAGTTGGTCGGAATAGGAACGACACCGGATCCTCCAAGGGGTTTCGGCTATAGAGGAAATCCTCTCGGTATTCGTAGATATGTATCCTGATTTGCTTCGCCTGCTCAGGTGCATGGAGCAGAGCTGCCATTCTCAGACACTTCAGAGCTGCCATGAATTCCGGAGGTTTGATAATCCGTTCTTCAGGGTTGTCATCCAGAACTCCTCTGGGATCCCTGCTTGCCAAAATCCCACACAGTTCATGGAAGGCCAGATCAGACTCTCCCGAATGCCTCGTATATAGAGCTTGCTGACGGAGACCACGGGCAACCTCCGACGGTGACATCTCCGAGTCGTGGTCTTGATCGAACATATCGAACTGAGAAACGAGCATCAAGAGTCGACACACTCATCCGAGGGCCAGGGTCAGAAAGCTCCACCGATATTACCACGCGCAGCATCCCTGTCGCTGTACAATCAAAGTATCGCAAGAGGGACTCGAGATTAGGGCCTGCGTCACCACAGTATACTGCTTGATCATAGCCTAGTCTCTCAACCATTGACAACCAATACTCCGAATCGTATTGGACAGCCACCACAGATGGCTGGACTTTCTCACTCACACGAGGTGGTCGAGCTGAAAACAACAAAAATATTACGACGATTAACGCGTCAGCATCTCTCTCTCACAATAAAAAGGCTAGCTGAACAAAGAATATTCCATTGAACCATTCTGAAAACAGCTAACACGTCAGATACAATTCTTGGCCCTTTAAGCCACAATGCCAAGCTCTTCTAGAATGGTAAAAACCCATTGAGTGGTCCACTGGGGCCGTTATGCCATCTTATATCATGTGTGTCATTAGCTCCAGCCATCAGTCTGGGATGACAAAAGACATTCAGTTATCAGTTGGGGTCGCTATGCCATCTTATATCATGTGTGTCATTAGCTCCAGCCATCAGTCTGGGATGACAAAAGACATTCAGTTATCAGTTGGGGTCGCTATGCCATCTTATATCATGTGTGTCATTAGGTCCGGCCATCAGCCTGGGATGACAAAAGACATTCAGTTATCAGTTGGGGTCGCTATGCCATCTTATATCATGTGTGTCGTTAGGTCCGGCCATCAGCCTGGGATGACAAAAGACATTCAGTTATCAGTTGGGGTCGCTATGCCATCTTATATCATGTGTGTCGTTAGGTCCGGCCATCAGCCTGGTATGGCAAAAGACATTCAGTTATCAGCTGGGGTCGCTATGCCATCTTGTATCTTGTGTGGCCTGAGCTCAAGCCATCAGTCTGGGATGACAAGAGACATTCAGTTATCGGTTGGGGTCGCTATGCCATTTCATATCATGTGTGTGTCATTAGGTCCGGCCATCAGCCTGGGATGACAAACGACATTCAGTTATCAGTTGGGGTCGCTATGCCATCTTGTATCATGTGCGGCCTGAGGTCAGGCCATCAGTCTGGGATGACAAAAGACATTCAGTTATCAATTGGGGTCGCTATGCCATCTTGTATCATGTGCGGCCTGAGCTCAAGCCATCAGCCTGGGATGACAAAAGACATTCAGTTATCAGTTGGGGTCGCTATGCCATCTTGTATCATGTGCGGGCTAAGGTCAAGCCATCAGTCTGAGATGACAAAAGACATTCAGTTATCAGTTGGGGTCGCTATGCCATCTTGTATCATGTGCGGCCTGAGGTCAGACCATCAGTCTGGGATGACAAGAGACATTCAGTTGTCAGTTGGGGCCATTATGCTATCTCATGTCATGTGTCATCAGGCCAAGCCATCAGTCTGGGATGACAAAAGACATTCAGTTGTCAATTAGGGCCGGTATGTCATCCTCTATCATGTGTGGCATCAAGCCATCGGTGTGGGATGACAGAACACATTCAGTTTTCAATCGGGGTCGTTATGCCACCATTTATCGTGTGCAGAGAAGAATCGAGTCAACAAACTAGCAGGATTGAATGCATTCAGCTATTAGCTAGGGTCGCCATGCCATCTTATATCATGTATGTCATTCGGTCAAGCCATCAGTCTGGGATGACAAGAGACATTCAGTTATCGGTTGGGGTGGCTATGCCATCCTGTCTCATGCGTGGCCTGGGATGACGAAAGACATTCAGTTATCAGTTGGGGCCGTTATGCAACCCAGTCTTATGTATGTCACAGGGTCAGGCTTCAAACTTGCCAAAAACTTGCTTTTCATCAAGGTGAGAACTTGAAAAGAAAACGGCGAGGTCTGCACTCCTCAATCCTGGACGGATCCCTATCGATTAGGAAATCGGATTCCTCACGAATCTCAAGGAGTCGTCATGTTCTCCATAAGCCCTTCCGAGCAGTACATAACTCGCATAGACAATGAAGCTATGCGGCAAATTTTATAGAATACGCATTTCTGGTTATAGACCCTGTACCGAGCAGTTGCTTCACTGAATCACCATTGTAAAAAAGTTCGCAAATGTACACACTCCATAACACACTGTGTGTTATAGTGTGTGTACGGTTGCGAGCTTTTTTGTGTGTTACGCACACTCACCCGAATCATATACATGACCCCCCACTACTACCATCGATAGGTATGCTCATACCGTGGGTAGGTTCTTCTGTAGATTCGCTATCAGCGACTGGCAGTCGGTGATGAAGTTCCTCTTCACTTCCCCTATCAATTTCACGGTAACCGACAGTCGATTGGCTGGATGCGAACATATTTATTAACGATGAGGGGAAACATAAACCCTAACAGTAAAGGCAAGCTGAATGAGGCCCGTGGCGTTGCATAACACGTTGCATAAATGACCTACGATCACACTCGGACAACAGTATCTGATCGCATGAGCTATAACCAAACAGCATGAGCAATATCTCAAGTGGATACCTCAGGTAGGCCGATGGTTTTAGATAGCGCGGTAACTATCGAGACTGGTTGAAGGCTGAATACTGCACAATAAGTCTAGACACAAACATGTAGATAAGCAGGTAAACTCTTTTGAGTTTGCTAAAGATTTCTGACCCGCTTTCCCAAAATGGGAACTTTGCGTGTGTCATCACAGTACCCGTCGACACGGGTGATCAGTGGCTCTGACGAAATGAGGAAAGTTTGAGTGAGACGATATAAGTTGCTGCACTCAAGAAAATGCAACGGACTTGAATTGACTTGAGCACAAACCCAACTTCATCGTTTTGGCGCTCGCCCGGAGCTTGGTCCTTGTAACATAGGGGTCGTTCAACAAACCGATTTCGGAACTCAGAATCGATTCCAGATTCTGGAATCCAGAACCGCTTCTCATACGATGCTCGAATCGATTCTGAATTCCAAATTTGATTCAAGGAACATGGGGATAAAGTGTACCTATATTACCTTCACGACGGGAGTTTCAACTCGCTTTGTCCAGAAAGAATTCGTCCACGGCGCGGTTACCATGGAGTGCATCATGTGGTGGTATTAATCTTCTTTGATATATTGTATTGATAGTAGTACCTCTTCCAGTTGAGATAAGGGCGATGACTCGTCAAGGGTTCATGAGACAAGTTACACTAATGCGATGTTTAGTACAGTACGACACGTTCAGAGAAAACGATTCTCGCCACACGAACGGCAGTGAGCGAGATACGGAACGTATGAATAAGATCCATCGGTCGTAGGTGGTAGTTTCCGTTCAGATCTCTTTGTCGAGCCTCGTGGCTAACAACCAACCAACCAACTTCTTGTGGCGGTAGCTAACCCACCATCGCTGCTGCTCTGCGATTTTTCCCGCAGCATAAGATGACTCACAAGCGTTGATTGCCGTGATTTAAATCTGTGCTTCTCGAATGCTTAACATCACAGCAGACACAGACTGGACCCATTTGGCTTCACAGTCCCTGTTCATAATGCAACACTTGTAATGTAATGATATTATACGAGGATTAACCTAGTGAAATCTCAAGTAGGGCGTATGACATTATATAACGATAATCAAAAGTTGCAACGACCAGATAATAGTGCGACTACGATGTGCGAGAACGGGAAAATGCCAACGAGTAAGTATGAAGGGACTAGCAGTGAGAAGCTGAAAATCTAGATCCACTTCTTCTTCCGGTATAGAAAGAATATTAGACTACTTATGGTGAGCAGAAGCAACCAGAAATACAAATATCCATATGTCCACATCAGCTCAGGGATTCCTGGATCACCGGTTGTGGGATTCTGGTAGTTCATACCGTAGATACCTGTAAGAAAGTGCATGGGAACGAATGTTGTCGTAACCAGAGTTAGGGCATACAAGATATTGCTCGTCTTAGACTCGCAGTATTGTCGATATTGCTCGAGCATCATCCTGGAGTTCTCTCTCAACGCCAACGATTCCTCCAGGAATCGATGAGTGTTGCTGCGAATATCAGAGGTATACATCTGCGAGTCGGGACTCCAATATCTGTAGCCCACGGCAGTGTCCAGAACGTCTAAGACGGGTCTCGACATTCGATAAAGTTGACCAAGTTGCCTGACGATCTTCCGCAGCCGTTTGACGTCCTTCTGATAGAACTTATCCATCTCTCTTTCGAGCCTCCGCTGCAGTACAGACAAAGATGCATCGTAAGCTTGTCCAACCAATATGTAGTCTTCAGTTATATCACACAAGATCTTGAAGAGTAAGGTGTGGGTATCACCAGTTCTCACATTGCTATAGGAAGTCTTCAGATTGCCCAAGGCATTACGGAAAATACTCATATCGTATGACATCGTCTCCCAATCAGTAATGGTGTGCGTGAAAGTGCGGAATCTCGTCCATGTGCGACTGTCGGTGGTGGACTTCCCCTCATCAACAGTCTCCTGACTCGATATTTTCTTAGTCCACCAGTGTTTCGGCGTCCTATTGTTTATACCTCTCATATCATCATCGTCCCGATCAGTCCCGGTTTTGCATAGCGTAACCCACTCGCTGGAGAAGCTGATGAGTGTACCACCTTCGGCTTTACCCGTTACAAACATCGCTAGGTTGCATTGCTCGACTTCCACCTTTACAATAGGTGCTTCAACCGTCTCATCGACTTTCGGCAAATCTTTCCGCAGCTTCTGCCTTCTCCACGATTGCCATGGGCGCAGAGTATTGCGACTGGTTTGAGTAAGCCGCAGTACTGGTATGATAATAATGGACCACAATGGCGGATTCTTCCGCGTTATCCGCGTCTCTCCGCGACCTGTCGGCCTGTACCCAAAGATATGATCGACTTTAGCCCCCTCGCGCCATAGCGTGAAGACATCCAATACAAACCGGGGGTCCAAACCGTATTTGATAGCGAGACCCAGCACAGCAGCTTGTGACGGATCATGAGAATGAAGCCAACGGACCCTGAACGTTTTTTGGATCTTCTTAGTGTTGAGCACTCTGGACATAGCAGTTGGTCGGAACAGGAACGACACCGGATCCTCCAAGGGGTTTCGGCTATAGAGGAAATCCTCTCGGTATTCGTGAATATGTATCCTGATTTGCTTCGCCTGCTCAGGTGCATGAAGCAGAGCTGCCATTCTCAGACACTTCAGAGCTGCCATGAATTCCGGAGGTTTGATAATCCGTTCTTCAGGGTTGTCATCCAGAACTCCTCTGGGATCCCTGCTTGCCAAAATCCCACACAGTTCATGGAAGGCCAGATCAGACTCTGCCGAATGCTTCGTATATAGAGCTTGCTGACGGAGACCACGGGCAACCTCCGATGCTGACATCTCCGAGTCGTGATCTTGATCGAACATATCGAACTGAGAAGAGAGCGTCAAGGCTCGCCACAACTCTCATCTGAGGCCCCAGAGCAGAGTCGGGAGGCCCTATCGATATTACCACGCGCAGCATCCCTGTGGCTGTACAGTCAAAGTATCGCAAAAGGGACTCGAAATTAAGGCCATCGTCATTGCAGTATACTGCTTGGTCATAGTCTAGTCTCTCAACCATGGACAGCCAGAATTCAGAATCGTGTTGAACTGCCACAACGGACGACTGGACTTCTTCACTCATTCGGGGAGGACGGGCTGAAAGGCGTTGGATGATAACGGTTGTTGCCTACTTAGGCATCGATGCGAACTTAGAGCGATGCTCTAGCATCAGAATAGAGAAGAAGAGGGACACTCGCGAATCTCAACTCTAGGTCTCAACTCGAGGGGCAACGTGGAAAGACGTTTCAGAAACGTGCTTAGAAAGATAAGGAACGTTGCGTAGTGCTTCCTAATCTTATGCATTTCACCAAAGAAACAGAACCTTCACGCAGACCCATTTGTTAGCATAGTGTCATCCAGAGTCTGGATTCCAGACTGCCTCTGTCTCGAGTAGACTCGTGCGGAAAGATCATCACATGAAAGACATAGCGGCGACACCGCTCCCCCCAATCTTACTATCAACGGATATGTCTATGTCGTTGACAGGGCCTCCTTCAGTGAATTCACTACCAGCAACTGGTGCTCTAAGATGAAGTTCCTCTTCACTCTCCCTGTCAGTCTCCCGGTATCCCACAGTGGGATGGCTGGATGCGAACATATTGGCCAATGATGCGGAGACAAAGAACTTATGTCATAAACCCTGACAGACAGAGGTACAACAGATGATCTCAACGGTCGAGTCGTAAGGTTCCCAGGCTTTCCACATGCGAATCAGCGAACTCCGATATCGATCACCGCACGGTGCGGTAATCAACTCTGAATAACTTGCAGTAAGACAGGAACATGGTCGATGCGTTCTAACAGTAACATTGCAAGAAAGTTAATTCTCAAAATGGGAGATCCATTACCCATCAATACCAGCCCGATCTCGACTGTGCACAACCATACTGAATGAGAGAATCCGATCCCACTCGAGGGCAGTCATGCCGTCACGATCTCAACCATACACCTATCCTATTTGGGGGCAGCTATGCCATCACGATCTTAACCATACACCTATCTTTTTTGGGGGGCAGCTATGCCATCACGATCTTAACCATACACCTATCTTATTTGGGGGCGGATATGCCATCACGATCTTAACCATACACCTACCCTATTTGGGGGCGGCTATGCCATCACGATCTTAACCATACACCTATCCTATTTGGGGGCGGCTATGCCATCACGATCTTAACCATACACCTACCCTATTTGGGGGCGGCTATGCCATCACGATCTTAACCATACACCTATCCTATTTGGGGGCGGCTATGCCATCACGATCTTAACCATACACCTATCCCATTAAGGACGGCTATGCCATCACGATCTTAACCATACACCTATCCTATTGGCGGCGGCTATGCCATCACGATCTTAACCATACACCTATCCCATTTAAGGACGGCTATGCCATCACGATCTTAACCATCCACCTATCCTATTTGGGGGCGGCTATGCCATCACGATCTTAACCATCCACCCATCCTATTTGGGGGCAGCTATGCCATTCGATATTCCATATATGCCATGCGATATGGACCGTACACCAATCCCGTTTGAGGGCGGCTCTAAAATTGGCTAACTCTCTCCACAGAACTCAAATGCCACAAGTGGCTGAAGCAGAATTATATGGAAGTAAGCAACTATCAGGCCTGATCATCAATACGCATCATTCCTTCAACCAGCGCACGCCCGGGATTCCAGTTGCACTCAAACAGACCAGTCAGCCGAGAATCTCCGTACGAGATGTAACTTGGCGAGACACATAGCACGAGCCTGATATCGCGAGAAGTTGCCTCGAATACCTACGAGCACGTTCATCACACACTGCTCATAGAGTTACTGTGGTCCTTCAAGGATCAACGTACATCACGCTTAATCACGCGAATCGCGCGACACTTTTTACTCCCAGTACAATACCGCCCTGTTTCTCGAGGACACACCAGAAGGTCAGCAATAGTGAGTCCCCACTGGCCGTGAGCTCAAAATTCCCGTCGGAAATCGAGCGCCGTGCTCCTTGATGACTTACTGCGTCTTGCACATTGCCTTCAACAATTTGCATGAACATGCATCCCCGAACACCCGCGATCGCTCCGTTATTCCCACTACGACCGTTCTTGTGAATTTCAGTACTCCCATTGTACTGGAAAATGCAATCCTTCTTCGCCTTGATATTCCTCTTTGGCTCCACCACGGGCGAAATCGACTGGAGCAGCGTCACTTTGGATCCTCCAGGCGAACCGTCCCCGCTTGGAGGCCAGTTTGACTTGACTGGAATAGTCCTCGATCCCCCGGTCGAGTCGACGCCCGTTGGTAACCCGTTGGACTGGAGTGGGATCACTATCGAACCCCCCATCCAACTGGCCACCACTGGTGACGACCCGACATGGTCCACGAGGGCTCCCGAGGAACCGAAGAACGAAACCATTGGCAATAATGAGTAAGTCTTATTGCTACTTGCTCTTTTCTATTTGGGAGCCTTTATCACATTGTAAGTCCATATTCCCTCAGAACCGCCGTGGTTGACAACGAGCCATCTGCAGACGACGAAGGCACGGCTCCCCGTGGTTGTTCAACCGCGTTATTGGGAGTCGTCCTCGGCGTATCGGTGGTTGGCCTTATCGTCAGCGTCGTTCAAGTGTGGCTGCTCAAGAGTTCATTGAACCGGCCGTCCATACAGATGCCGGAGAACGTGGATCTGGAGAAAGGGGAGAGGTAAGAGAACATAGTCGCATACACTATAGAGTCACTAGTACGCATTATCAATGATTCAAGTATTATAAGTCCACGGTACCCATGATACATCTCAGATACAGCCATCACACCACGACGTCTATCCAAGAAGTGTCGATTGGCCTCTGACATGTCTGCACGATTGCATGTTGAAATAGTTGTCGTAAACCTGAGCTCGCTCCGAATTGCGTTTTCAAACTCCCTCCAATTGGCACCGATCATCAATTAGTATCTTGCGCCGAACCAGCGCCCGCCCGAAAATATGATCGAGGCACCTGAATACCACGCACAGTACAGATATCACCAACAGCTGTCACTAACACTTACGAAGCTCGGACTCCGAGCGAATCATCCGCTCGTTCGTCGGTACTAAGAACGAGATTGAGAAGCATCAGGAAGCGATACACGAAGAAGACCAGCGCAAAACTAATTACCACTACAGAATCCCGGGCCAAACAAGTTCGGATACTCTGAAATCAGAAACTGCCAGTGATTATAAGCATGATGATCACAAGCCGCTGCCGTTATTATTTCAGTCTCCACCACACGACTAGCTCGCTCTTCCCTCTCAATACCAGCCCGATCTCGACTGTGCACAACCATACTGAATAAGAGAATCCGATCCCACTCGAGGGCAGTCATGCCATCACGATCTTAACCATACACCTATCCTATTTGGGGGCAGCTATGCCATCACGATCTTAACCATCCATCTATCCCATTAGAGGGCAGCTATGCCATCACGATCCTAACCATACACCTATCCCGATCTGAACCATACACAACTATACTCAATTAGGTGGACCGATTCCGCTCGATGGCGGCTATCCCATCTCTACCAGAGCCATACTGTGTTGTAATGACTTAAAGTTGTGCGAGTGCCTAACCATGGACCCTCTGCTCATCTTGACGCTGCCATCCAGCAAGCTCAGAAGCTACACATTGCAGAAAGGGCCTTGATCAGGGAGGAACCAACTAGATCCTCATAACGCTATAGTCGTTACCATTAGTGAAGCACTTGCAACACAGTAACATTGTGTTGGGGTTAACCCAGTGAAACCTCCAGTGTAGTGCAAAAGATAACAGGACAGCTTGTAACAATGGTAACACCTTTCGATACTTCTGAATGACCGCCATAAAGAAATTCCAGCAGACACAGGAGAAAAGGCTACTATCACGACAATCATATAGTGTAGTCGCCACGGCCAGGCCAGAGAGCGATCATGGCGGCCACAGTGTGGCCAGTAAGAACAAGAAAACGCCAACGAGCGAGTCTGAAGGAACTATGAGTAGCCACGCAATTTAGATCCACTTCTTCTTTCGGTAGAGGAAGAAAATCAAGCTCGTGATGGTGAGCAGAAGCAGCCAGAAATACAAGTATCCATACTTCCACATCAGCTCAGGCATTCCCGGATCACCCGTTACAGGATTCTGGAAATTCATACCGTAGACACCTGTGAGAAACTGCCCGGGAACGAAGGTGGTTGTAACCAGAGTGAGAACATACAAGATATTGCTCGTCTTAGATTCGCAATACTGTCGATATTGCTCGAGCATCATCCTGGCGTTCTCCCTCAACGCCAAAGATTCCTCGAGAAATCGATGAGTGTTGCTCCGAATATCAGAGGTATACATCTGCGAGTCGGGACTCCAATGTCTGTAGCTGACGGCAGTTTCCAGAACGTCTAAGACGGGTCTCACCATTCGATAAAGTTGACCAAGTTGCCTGACGATCTTACGCAGCCGTTTGACGTCCTTCTGATAGAACTTATCCATCTCTCTATCAAGCCTCCTCTGCAGTACAGACAAAGATGCATCGTAAGCTTGTCCAACCAATATGTAGTCTTCAGTTATATCACACAAGATCTTGAAGAGTAAGGTGTGGGTATCACCAGTTCTCACATTGCTATAGGAAGTCTTCAGATTGCCCAGAGCATTACGGAAAATACTCATATCGTATGACATAGTCTCCCAATCAGTAATAGTATGCGTTAGAGTTCGGAACCTCGTCCATGTACGACTGTCGGCGGTCGACTCCGTCTTTTCTTCATCAATCATCTCCTTGGCTGGTGTTTTCTTACTCCACCAATGCCCCTTCGACTTACCATTACTACCCTTTGTGTCCTCATCATCCCGATCAGTACCGGTTTTGCATAGAGTAACCCACTCGCTGGAGAAGCTGATCAGCGTACCACCTTCGGCTTTACCCGTTACGAACATCGCCAGGTTGCATTGCTCGACTTCCACTTTCACAATAGGTGGTTCAACCGTCTTATCGACTTTCGGCAAATCCTTTCGCAGTTTCTGCCTTCTCCACGATTGCCATGGCCGCAGAGTATTGCGACTGGTTTGAGTAAGCCGCAGTACTGGTATGATAATAATGGACCACAATGGCGGATTCTTCCGAGTTATCCGCGTCTCTCCGCGACCTGTCGGCCTGTACCCAAAGATATGATCGACTTTAGCCCCCTCGCGCCATAGCGTGAAGACATCCAATACAAACCGGGGGTCCAAACCGTATTTGATAGCGAGACCCAGCACAGCAGCTTGTGACGGATCATGAGAATGAAGCCAACGGACCCTGAACGGTTTTTGGATCTTCTTAGTGTTGAGCACTCTGGACATAGCAGTTGGTCGGAATAGGAACGATACCGGATCCTCCAAGGGGTTCCGGCTATAGAGGAAATCCTCTCGGTATTCGTAAATATGTATCCTGATTTGCTTCGCCTGCTCAGGGGCGTGGAGCAGGGCTGCCATCCTCAAACACTTGAGAGCAGCCACGAATTCTGGAGGCTTTATAATACGCTCTTCAGGGTTACCCTCCACGGTCCCTTTGAGACCGCGGCTTATGAGAATGCCGCATAGTTCATGAAAAGCCTGGTCGGACTCCGCAGAATGCTTCGTATACAGAGCTTGCTGGCGGAGGCCGCGAGCAACTTCGGATGGCGACATCTCCGAATCGTGATCTTGATCGAACATGTCAAACTGAAAGATAGGTCTCATGGATCGCTAAGGATGTTCGATGAAACCGCGGTGAGAAACCGATCATCAGAACGGAACGAATCATAGAAGTTATTACCACTCGCAACATCCCTGTCGCTGTACAATCAAAATACCGCAAGAGGGACTCGAGATTAGGGCCGGCGTCACCGCAGTATACTGCTTGGTCGTAGCCTAGTCGCTCGACCATGGACAGCCAATATCCAGAGTCGTATTGAACCGCCACCAAGGATGGCAGAACCTTCTCACTCACACGAGGCAGCCGAACTGAGGCCAATAGTGATGACTCTGAGATCTGATTCAACACTCGATAAATATTCCTGCGTCCAACTGAGCTTTCGAACCTCCCGGTGATACTAGGCTTATTGGACGCTCTCAGAATGTCTTTCTACTCACATTATCTCGTTGATTCAACACAATCCGAAGTCCCGCATTACCATCTTTATACTCCTGGTCGTCCGACCCTTTTTGGGAATTAGGTGCTCCTCCATCACTCGCTTCCTTCTCATAAGGCAGCTCAATGGCATCATTGTCCATTCTGAAACCATCAGGTCGACTCCTGGTTATATAATTCTCCTGTCTGAGCGCTGCAGTGCCGGGAAGATCTGGATTCGGCTTAGGGAAAAGATCCTCCTCTGTCGCTCTAGATGACGCATCACTCATGATGGAAACATAACTTGAGAGAGAGCCTTCGGCGGCTAGGGAAAGTACTTACCCTCAACAGCCCACTAACCTTAGCCTGCAATCAAGAGTAGTGATTCTATATTCCACAGGGTAGATCAGTAGTTTAGATTCATTGCATCCCGAAAGAGTGAATGTGTGAAAAGCCGAGACTCAACATTACTCGGTGTTCAGAAACACGTGACCATCAAAAAAGACCTTCCTTCCTCAGCAGCTGCATCTTAGCTGTCTTGATTGGAGGTTATAGCGCTCTGTCTACCACACGGTCCTATTAATCGCGAGCTTTACTCCAATTTGGAATTTCCAAAGCTCTGGCTGCGGTATCCGTTTACCGTCATGAAAACTTCCCAACCAAAGCGAAGAACCATGGAGCACCAGAACAGTGGAAAAACCGCGTCTGATAGCCGTTACATCACCGTTACCAATTACATCTCACCGATAAGATCACATTACACATGCTCAATTGCTTTGGGATCATGCTTCCGTGGAGCCATTTTGAGGTCATTTTCCATAGACAACTTATTTGTGACGTAGCAATAACCAGTTTGTGCTGCTGAATACACATATAACAGTCTGAGATACACGTTACGTAGTCGATATCCAATCCGCTGCCATTTCGTTCAAGGGAAAATGAGACGAATAACATCGAGCACGAGACATCGAACTGCGGAACCCAAGAAATTGGCTAACTCTATCCCCAGAACTCAAAGCCCACAAGTTGCTGAAGCTGCGTTGAATTCAGAGTTGCTATGCAACAATCAAGCCTGATCATCAGTATGCCTCGAGCGCTCAACCAGCGCGCGCCCGGTCATTCAGTGGCACAGACCAGTCCACCGAGAATCTCTGTACGAGATGTAACTTGGCGAAACACATAGAACGAAGACGATATGACGGAAACCCACCTCGAATACTCACGAACACACTCATCTGACACTGCTCGGAGTATTACTCCAGTCTTTAGTAAAGACACTTTACCCGTCAGCGAATGGTGTGCAATCGCTTGATTACGCAAATCCCTTGACACTCTTTACTTCCAGTAGGATACCGCATCGCTGTCTCGCAAGAAAACACAAGAAAGTCACCAATGGTGAGCCACCACCGGCCATGAGCACTAAATTTCCAACGGAAATCGAGCGACGTGCTCCTTGATGACTTAGAGCACCTTGCCCATTGCCGCTGACAATTTGCATGAACATGCATCCCCGAACTCTGCGATCGCTCTGTTATTTCACTACGATCATTCTTGCGGATTTTAGCGTTACCACTTTCGCGAAAATGTACTTCTACGCTATCATCTTCCTCGTTGGCTCCTCCATGGGCGCCATGGACTGGAGCAGTGTCATTCTGGAGCCTCCAGTTGGGTCCTCCCCTACTGGAGGCCAGATAGATCTGAGCGGGATAGTCCTCGATCCCCCAGTCGAATCAACACCTGTTGGGAACCAGTTGGACTGGAGTGGGATCACCATCGAACCTCCAGTCCAGCCGGCCACTAATGGGAGCCAGATAGACTGGAGCGGAGTCGACCTAGATGGACCGGTCCACCCAACTACTGGGGACGACCCGGCATGGTCCACAAGGGCTCCCGAGGATCCGAGGAACGAGACAGTCGAGAACAACAAGTAAGTCTTATCACTACACAGGGTAGCCTGTATTACATTGTACATTTTTTCTCAGGACCGCCGTGGCTGACAACAACGCTCCACTAAACGACGCAGGGACGACTCCCCGTGGCTGCTCAACCGCATTATTGGGAGTCGTCCTCGGCGTGTCGGTGGTTGGGCTCGTCTTCAGCGTCGTCCAAGTGTGGCTCCTCAGGAGTCTATTACACCGGCCATCCATACAGATGCCGGATGTCGTAGACCTGGAAAAAGGGAAAAGGTAAGAAAATATAGTCGTATTGAGTCATTAGGGCGCACCATCAATGATTCAAGCAGTAGCAACCCACAGTACCCATGATACATCTCAGATACAGCCACCACACCGCGACGTCAATCAGAGAAGTATCGATTGGGCTATGACATGCCTGTAACATTGCATGTTGAAAAGTTGTTGTAAAACTGAACTCGTTTCGGATTGCGTTGATGCCCTCCAATCGGGCTTGATCATCAACTGGTATCTTACGCTGAACCAGCGCCCGCCCAAAAGTGATCCATGCACCTGAATACCACACACAGTACAGATATTACGAAAAGCTGTCACTCACGATGATCACTCGAGGCTCGGACTCCCAGCGGATCATCCTCTGTAGAAAGAGCAACGAGGAAGGGAAAGCATCGGGAAGAGACAGACAGGGAATTCTAGCGCAAAACTGATGAACACTACTGAACTCTACACCTAAACAAGTCCGGAAACCGTGAATTCAGAAACTGCCAATAATCACGAACATGATGATCACGAACTCCTGCCGCTACTATTGTGGTCTTGAGCCTTCAGCCACCCCATCCCGCGATCAGCGCGCTCTTCCCTCTCAATCCCATTATGAGCAGCCTCCTCTGAGTTGATCGGAGTTGCTTCATCGGCAGTTATTATGACATCCAATAGGAAGGGTATGATTTCATCCTGACACATGAGGAAGAGGTAACAATTCCTTGAGAGAAAGAGAGCACAGAAGTAGGATCATTCCTATCCTCTAGTGACAGCCCATCAACCGTCGAACGGCCGCCACTTCCAGGTCATCCCACCTGAGGGCAGGTATGCAAGAGTCTGGCAGCCAGACCCATCTGAACCATACACTACACCAACCCCATTTGGGGGCAGCCGTGCCATCATGATCTAAACGATACACCAATCTCATTTGGAGGCAACGATATCACTCCAATCCGAGTCATACAACAACCCCGTTCGAGGGCAGCTATGCCATCACGATCTGAACCATACAACAAGTCCATTTGAGGGCAGCTATGCCATCACGATCTGAACCATACAACAAGTCCATTTGAGGGCAGCTATGCCATTCCGATCTGATTCATACATCAGTCCTATTCGGGGACACCTATGCCAGCTTGATCTGATTCATACATCAGTCCTATTCGGGGACACCTATGCCAGCTTGATCTGATTCATACATCAGTCCTATTCGGGGACACCTATGCCAGCTTGATCTGATTCATACATCAGTCCTATTCGGGGACACCTATGCCAGCTTGATCTGATTCATACATCAATCCTATTCGGGGACACCTATGCCAGCCAAATCTAGACGATACACCAATCCCCTTTTTTTGAGGCCGGCCTTCAAATTGGCCAAGTCTCTCCCCAAAACTCAAAACCCACAAGTTGCTAAACCTGTGCTGAGTTCAAAGTTGAATTCAAGTATGCAACTATCTGGCATAATCATCAATACGCATCTTGCGCTCAATCAGCGCGCGCCCGATCATTCAGTAGCACAGACTAGTCCAGTCGAGACTCTCTGTATGAGATGCAATTTGGCGAGACATATAGAGCGAACATGATATCACGAAAATCCACCTCGAATACTCACAAACATACTCATCACACACTGCTCGCAGTTTTTCTCTTTTCTTTGCCTGTCAGCGAGTTCAGTCACTTCATATTATGAAGTTCATAATGCAAATCCCTTGACACTCTTTACTTCCAGTACGATACCGCATCGCTGTCTCTCAAGAGAATACTAGAAAGTCATGAATAGTGAGCCACCACCGGCCATGAGCACTAGATTTCCATCGGAAATCGAGCGCCGTGTTCCTTGATGACTTAGAGCACCTTGCCCATTGCCACTGACAATTTGCATGAACATGCATCCCCGAACTCTGCGATCGCTCTGTTCACCATCACTCATGCGAGTTTCAGCGTTACCACTTTCGCGAAAATGTACTCCTTCGCCATCATATGTCTCATTGGCTCCACCACGAGCACCATAGACTGGAGCAGTGTCATTCTGGACCCTCCAATCGGCACGTCCGCGATCGGAGGCGAGGTGGATCTGGGTGGGATAGTCCTCGATCCCCCAGTCGAATCGACACCTGTTGGGAACCAGTTGGACTGGAGTGGGATCACCATCGAACCCCCAGTCCAGCCGGCCACTAATGGGAGCCAGATAGACTGGAGCGGAGTCAACCTTGATGGACCGGTCCACCCAACTACTGGGGACGACCCGGCATGGTCCACAAGGCCTCCCGAGGATCCGAGGAACGAGCCAATCGACAACAACAAGTAAGTCTTATCACTACACAGGGTAGCCTGTATTACATTGTACTCCCGTTTTCCCTCAGGACCGCCGTGGCTGACAACGAGGCTCCACCAAACGACGAAGGCACGACTCCCCGTGGTTGCTCAACCGCATTATTGGGAGTCGTCCTCGGCGTGTCGATGGTTGGCCTCATCGTCAGCATTGTCCAAGTGTGGTTCCTCAAGAGTCTATTAAACCGGCAGTCCATACAGACGCCGGAAAACGTAGACCTGGAGAAAGGGAATAGGTAAAAAAAGATAGTCGCATACACTCAATTGAGTCACTAGTACTCACATACTGTGATTCAAGCAGGGCCCTTGACAAATCCCAGTCAGATACAGCCATCACACAGCGACGTCTATCCAAGAAGTGTCGATTGGGCAATGATATGTCTGTAACATTGCATGTTGAAAAAGTTGTCGTAAAACTGAACTCGTTTTGGATTGCGTTGAGAGATGTCCTCCAATCGAGACCGAGCATCAAGTAGTATCTTACGCCGAATTAGCGCCCGCCCAATAATACATCTGAATTCCACACACAGTACAGATATCATGAATGGCTGTCATCAAGACTCACGATGATCGTCCTAGGCTCGGACTCCGAGCAAGTCATCCGTGGAAAGAGCAACGGGATCTTAAGCATCGGGAAGAGACAGACAGAGAAGTCCAGCGCAAACCAGGTGAACACTACAGAACTCCAGGTTCGGAAACTCTGAATTCAGAAACTGCCAGTAATTATGAAAACATGATCACGAGCTGTTATTATCGTGATTTTGAGCCTTTAACCACTCCACCACGCGATTAGCTCGCTCTTCTCTCTCAATCCCATCACGAGCAGCCTCCTCTGAGTTGATCCGTGCTGCCTCATCTGCAGTTATTGTGACATCTAATATGAATGGCATGACCTTATCCTGACACATGAGGAAGAGTCAACATTTCCCTGAGAGCACAGAAATAACATTACTTCTATCTCATAATGGCAGCCCATCAACCGTAGAATGGCCGCCACTTCCAAGTGAAAGCCACTGGATACCGGAAAATACATCGCATCAAAACTGTCATCGGACATAAGCAGACCAGCAACTGAGGCATCCAATCATCTACTTGAATGCACTAATACCATCCATTACCATCGGATATGACTGGCAGCTCCACTTTAACCATGCCGTACTGGTAACATTGGACCATTTGGATCAATCTCCTCTTGAGGGCCTTAGTCGTTCGTTTCCTGGAAGTAGTATCAACACAGATCAGGTACTTCCAGTGCCGCACTACGATGCCCGGCGGGCATTGCCCGCGACTATACAATTCCCATCTCACCCAAGGAGACTCCGCACAAGACTATCGAGGTACAAACCACTGCCTGCATGGGGTAGATGAGCACAAGCTTGCAAAATGGCGAAGTAGTCACTGTACGCTTCGCAAATCTGTAGTCGCTCCAGCCCGCGGTCGGCGACATCCGCTGCAAGAGGGAAGATCATCTTCGCTCAGCTGTCAACCAAGAACCACCACTCACATGCAGCCGAATCCAATCGTCGCCACATGGGAATGGTCCAGCGATCCTCCTTCATGTCAAGCGTACTCATCGCTCCCAATATCTGATCATCATCACTTCTCTCATTATGACATGTCACTATACCTGTGCTAAAATCTCCTGCGGAACTGCATGGATGTTGTCAATCACCGCGTCGAGGATGCGCCCGCAGAGCTCCTCGTCTCGATACCGCACGCTGGCCAATCCGGTTATAATTTCACCATATTGCCGATTCGTCAATTCTGTGAATCTGAATCCGTGCAATCCAAGCAGAAGAGAACAGCACATGTTCAACACTACCTGAGTCCGACCTCCTTGGTCAAACTCGCATAGAGATCGTCATCCTCCAGAGAACGGTGAGTGAAGCTCACTATCAGGCTCACTAGTTCAGTAGTCCCGAACACTGAAGGGTCATCCTGAAGGTTCACGACCAACGTTCACATAACGCTAGATGAATATCATACAAAGGTACTACGAGATGATGAATTCTCGTGACTTTAGAGTGACATGAGGTGAGTTATACTCCACGGGCTGTAAATCACAACCCATAGAGTCCCAAACAGAACCGAACACCGGAGCACAACAATGACGAGTACCACCTGAATCCGTTTGGCCATTATATACATCCAGAACTCATCCACACATTTGCTGTTATCACCAACAGCGCTGGCGAAACGAACAATATCGCGATTTGACACATCCCCGAGATGGTCGCATACACGGTCAGAAAATCCCCTGACGACCTGAGGCGACTCGATCTCACGGAGAAAAGAAATGTCATCCTGTCCGCTAACCTCCGGCAGCACGCCCTGATCGAACCGTGTTTTACACCAGGACATGAAATCAGCGATTTCCTCAAGCGACCAATCTTCAGCCCGTAAAACTTTAGAGTTACCGCAGATCTGAAGCAGAGAGCGTGAATCACATCGAAGGCACACATGCCCCTCAAGTACCTCTTTAACGACCAGAACATCACCTAGAGTCATCATTATAGTCTGAAGATCCTTTGGGGTGGCCGGTACAAGTCCTTCAGTGGACACTGGTTGGCCTGCCGCGGGATCATCGCCAGGCTCCGAAGCATCAGCCTACACAACGGGACCAGTCATAAATCACTCACGAGCACAGACACACCTCTGGGAATGGTGCATGATGTGCACAAATCCTGGCGATGTGGCGTCTAATGAGCTGTGCCACGTTGCGTTGAACTCTGTTAATCAAGACTGCAGCTATCTCCCCAGGGGCAATCTTCAACCCAGGACATGAGGGATCCACTGATCTCAAAATCCTAAAGGAGCGGAATAACAACCAATGGGAATAGTGATACAAATCCATATGAAAACCCGTATTACTCATAGAGCTCAGTCTCTGTCATCCTGTTTCTACTACCAATGCTTCTGTCTTGTTCCCATGCCCCTTCAGTACTATTCCGGAGAGCCGTATCATCTGGAGATCCCCACAAGCGCCTCCCAGACAATCGAGGCGTCGTGTAATCCCTGGAAGACTCCGACTCGGACGATCCGGCGAACTGCTCCACGGGTGGCACTATCGGTGGAACTCGGGACCTCAAGTGCGGCGGTAAAGCCGTCATAACACGCGTGGCTGTCATGGTAGCAAGATGCCTTGTGGAGACTAGATTAGCGGTGAGAGTTGCAGACATGAAAATAAAACTTGAAAACTCTGTTGTAGCTTGGACAATACGATGGACAATACGACAGTATATGGACAATACTATGAGCATGAAAGACCGTTAGGCCGTATCCTAACGTAGAAAACAGGCAGGAACAGCAGCTCATTCCACCCTCAGCCTGAGGACTCCAAGAGATCTCCCTGAGAGGCACTGTAAACGGAATACTCACTCATCTGAGCTATCAAGTCGCTCTACGTGTCAAACAAAGGCCGAACATTGTAAGCGATGTTGAGCCCTACTGAGCGACCCAAATCACGAAGATCATATGGGAAAGTCTCCATTACGTCCTAGTCATCATCGAGAGAATAGAGGCAATGCTGTGAAGTTCCACAAGGCCCGGAGATACGAGAAGTACATATAAATTCTAGAAGTAGAGTCGATGCTGCTGATGAACAGCGTTTGCCAACATGTTTGTCAAAAGTCTATTCAACAGAGGATTGATACCAGTCCTGGACAGACAACTATCACCCGATTTTTCACAGGCGGAAATTTACATTTGGAAGCATCATTAGGTCTTTGGGGCAAAGCGGCATGATTCATAGGAACTCTCAGTACCCTAGTGTACACAGAGTAACAGTGACTCATTCAAGTTGTTGGAAACCGAAAATGTCCGCAGGGTAAATTCGATCCTGGGAGAACCCAACTATGAACTTGAAACTTAACCTACTGAGCTGACAGGAAGCCATGCGCAAAAATTCAATCCGCCTACCGACCTGCACTGGATGAAACTGTCACGACATGATGAAACGTTCGGGGTGTTCAATAGACCTCTCCTGAGTTCTAAGAGCGCTCCAAAGATTGAGTTTTACATGTGATATCTAATCGTGGGCGGGCTCTTTAAGGTCTATTGAACACGTCGGTTGTATCATACATGTTTTGTGTCATACAACATTACATAAGTCATAAGGTTCATCTCGTTCGCGGTAGCCTTACCATATCCAAGGATGCTCTACGAGCAAATGATGCGAATCGATATAGTGTGCACAATACTCTCACTTCTATGCCGTCGAACTTGGATTTAGGCGAACGTTGGAGGCTTAAACTTGGGGCTCATCTATCGTATATATTCGCTAATTCAAGATGCTGCCTGATGAACGTTTCACTTGTGACGCGTATAATCTACCATGTCAAATGTGTATAATTCTGTTTCCACAAAAAAAAGATACTGCCTGAATATCGTCTTGTCAAGGGGACTAGAAGATCTTAACTCTTCCCTGCTGCGGTCTCCGTGCTTCAAGTTTCAGGAGTTGGATCGTTCTCGCTGTAGTTCGCCTCTCTGGAGGAACCACACTGGATCAGTGTACTTATATTTGATAAATCACCATACTTGTCACATCCGAGTCTAGGATAGTGTTGATGTGGAGAGACGCTGCCTCATCCACAACCCGAGTACGGTTTCTGTGAAGGAGCTCGTCGCTCACTACGGGTCGCGCGACATGGCCTCGGAAGGAGCTCGCATCATGCGAGTCGCATGGCAGAGTTTGGCATCATAAATGCTGCTTCACGGACCACACTGTCCATTATGCCTGGCGTAGTAGCGGACCACCCCATCCCGCGATCAGCGCGCTCTTCCCTCTCAATCCCATTATGAGCAGCCTCCTCTGAGTTGATCGGAGTTGCTTCATCGGCAGTTATTATGACATCCAATAGGAAGGGTATGATTTCATCCTGACACATGAGGAAGAGGTAACAATTCCTTGAGAGAAAGAGAGCACAGAAGTAGGATCATTCCTATCCTCTAGTGACAGCCCATCAACCGTCGAACGGCCGCCACTTCCAGGTCATCCCACCTGAGGGCAGGTATGCAAGAGTCTGGCAGCCAGACCCATCTGAACCATACACTACACCAACCCCATTTGGGGGCAGCCGTGCCATCATGATCTAAACGATACACCAATCTCATTTGGAGGCAACGATATCACTCCAATCCGAGTCATACAACAACCCCGTTCGAGGGCAGCTATGCCATCACGATCTGAACCATACAACAAGTCCATTTGAGGGCAGCTATGCCATCACGATCTGAACCATACAACAAGTCCATTTGAGGGCAGCTATGCCATTCCGATCTGATTCATACATCAGTCCTATTCGGGGACACCTATGCCAGCTTGATCTGATTCATACATCAGTCCTATTCGGGGACACCTATGCCAGCTTGATCTGATTCATACATCAGTCCTATTCGGGGACACCTATGCCAGCTTGATCTGATTCATACATCAGTCCTATTCGGGGACACCTATGCCAGCTTGATCTGATTCATACATCAATCCTATTCGGGGACACCTATGCCAGCCAAATCTAGACGATACACCAATCCCCTTTTTTTGAGGCCGGCCTTCAAATTGGCCAAGTCTCTCCCCAAAACTCAAAACCCACAAGTTGCTAAACCTGTGCTGAGTTCAAAGTTGAATTCAAGTATGCAACTATCTGGCATAATCATCAATACGCATCTTGCGCTCAATCAGCGCGCGCCCGATCATTCAGTAGCACAGACTAGTCCAGTCGAGACTCTCTGTATGAGATGCAATTTGGCGAGACATATAGAGCGAACATGATATCACGAAAATCCACCTCGAATACTCACAAACATACTCATCACACACTGCTCGCAGTTTTTCTCTTTTCTTTGCCTGTCAGCGAGTTCAGTCACTTCATATTATGAAGTTCATAATGCAAATCCCTTGACACTCTTTACTTCCAGTACGATACCGCATCGCTGTCTCTCAAGAGAATACTAGAAAGTCATGAATAGTGAGCCACCACCGGCCATGAGCACTAGATTTCCATCGGAAATCGAGCGCCGTGTTCCTTGATGACTTAGAGCACCTTGCCCATTGCCACTGACAATTTGCATGAACATGCATCCCCGAACTCTGCGATCGCTCTGTTCACCATCACTCATGCGAGTTTCAGCGTTACCACTTTCGCGAAAATGTACTCCTTCGCCATCATATGTCTCATTGGCTCCACCACGAGCACCATAGACTGGAGCAGTGTCATTCTGGACCCTCCAATCGGCACGTCCGCGATCGGAGGCGAGGTGGATCTGGGTGGGATAGTCCTCGATCCCCCAGTCGAATCGACAC